AAGTCATGTTGTGAAAGACTAACTATATTTCCCTCCATCCTAACCCATCCTCCATTTATTCTATTCTCTCCTTTGACCCTGTCCCTCCTCAAAAGTTTTCGCTTCTGCTTACCTCCTCCTCCAATCTGCCCTTCCTTCTACCACCCTCCCATCCCTTTCCCCCCTACTTTCCTTAGGGTAAGATAGATTTCCATAACCAATTGAGTGTGTATGTTATTTCCTCCTTAAGCCAAATCCAATGAGAGCGAGGTTCACTCATTCCCTCTCATCTTTACCCTCTTCCCCTCCATGGTAGAAGATTTTTCTTCCATTTTTTATGTGAGATAATTTGCCCCATTCTTCCTCTCCTTTTCTCCTCCCAGTACATTCCTCTCTCACCCCGTATTTTATTTTTTAGATATCGTCCTTTCATATTCAATTCACCCTGTGCCCTCTATCTATATATATGTGTATGTGTGTGTGTATGTCCATATACATACATATATGTGTGTGTGTGCGTGTGCGTGCGTGTGCATGTGTGTGTATTCCCTTCAACTACCCTAATAATGAGAAAGGTCTCATGAGTTATAAATATCATATTTCCATGTAGGAATATAAACAATTCAACTTTAATAAGTCCCTTATGATTTCTCTTTCCTGTTTATCTTTTCATGCTTCTCTTGAGTCTTGTATTTGAAAGTCAATTTTTCTGTTTAGCTCTGGCTTCTCAAGAATGCATTAAATTCCTCTGCATCACTGGATGTCAAATTTTCCCCCTCATTGATTACACTCAGTTTTGCTTTGTAGGTGATTCTTGGTTTTAATTCTAGCTCTTTGACCTCCAGAATATCATATTCCAAGCCCTGCAATCCCTTAATATAGAAGCTGCTAAATCTTGTGTTATCCTGATTGTGTTTCTACAACACTTGAATTGTTTCTTTCTGGCTGCTTGCAATATCTTCTCCTTGAATTGGGAACTCTGGAATTTGCCTATGATATTAATGGGAGTTTTCTTTTTGGGATCCAATTCTATTTTTTAAGGAACTTTTCTGTTCAGCAAAGTTTTGTAAATCTTTTTCCATTTGATCAATTCTGTTTTAAGGCATTCTTCTCTTCATTTTACCTCTTTTACCATTTGGTCTATTCTGTTTTTTAATGTATTATTTTCTTCAATACTTTTTTTGTGCCTCCTTTACCAAGAAGTTGACTCTTTTTTCATGATTTTCTTGCATTACTCTCATTTTTCTTCCCAATTCCTCCTCTGCTCTCTTATTTGATTTTTAAAATCCTTTTTGAGCTCTTCCATGGCCTGAAACCAATTCATATTTTCTTAGAGGCTTTGGATGCAGGAATTTTGACTTTGTTGTTTTCTTCTGAGTGTGTGTTTTGATCTTCCTTGTCACCACAGTAACTTTCTATGGTCAAAATTTTTTTCTGTTGTTTGCTCATTTTCCAGTCTATTTCTTGACTTTTAATTCTACACTAAAGTTGGGCTCTGCTTCTCAAGTGAAGGGGGCACTGTCCCAAGCTTCAGGTTTTTGTGCAGTTGTTTCAGGGATATTTCTGGGGACCTGTAAGTTTTTGGCTCTTCCCAGGTGGTATGATCTAGGGAGAGATGTGTTTACTATTCTGTGGTTTGTGAGTAACCACAGGCACTATTTTCAATGCTGTAACTGTGACCAGGGTCCCTGTTCCCTGCAGCCACAAGTTCTGCTGGGCTAGTGCTCCTCCTCCCCCTACTGGGACTAATACCCAGGACTGTGACCCAGATCCAAGTAAAGGTATTGAAACAGAATTCTGCCTCTGGTGCTAGCACTGGGACCCCTATAAATCTCCTTCTGACCCCTAACAGTCTGTGGGATGAGAGGTCTAGATACTTCCACTGCTGCCACTGATTCAGTTGCCCCTAAGACCTGCTCCTGGTTTGCTCTGATGTGGCCCACCCTTCTCTCTCACCTTGGTACAATAGCCCTTTCCCGCCAATTTAGAAGACTTTAGCCTAGCCTTAGATTAGAAAATTGTTTCATTCCATCTTTCTGTGGGTTCTGCCACTCTAGATTGTGTTTAGTCATTATTTAAAGGTATTTTAAGGGATTTGGGGGAGAGCTCAGGTGAGTCCCTGCCTTTACTCTGCCATCTTGACTCTGCCTTGAAAGTCAAGTATTTAATTGCCTATTACATGCAGGAAGGATATGTATAAAATGTGGCACCTCACTTCACGGACCTTATAGATGGGAGGAAAGACCTAAGCAGATGCAACAAGAATGACCAATCTGATTAAATGCTATAGGTCTTCAGAGAATCAGGGTAGATTAGAATAGTTAGGTAAAACTTCGTGGAAGAGTGATCACCTGTCCAAAGCTAACCATATTATCTTTTCCCCAAAACCCTCTCCTCTTCTAAACTTCTTATTAAAAGCACTGCCATCTCCCGACTGGGAGTGACTACTTGGTTTCACAACCAAGATATCATCCTTGACCGCTCACTCTCTCATCCCCTATAGTTAATCTGTAGTCAATTCCTGTCAATTCTACCTTTACATCATCTCTCCTTTGACACTGCCACCACAGTAGTGTAGGTCCTCATCTCCTTAACCCGAATCACTGCAATAGACTTCTCTTTGGTATTTCTGTCTCAAAGTCTCTGCCTACTACAATCTATCCTCTACTCAATTATTAAACTCATCTTCCTAAAATGCAGGTTTGACCATGTCACACACACCCTTGCCCCAACCCCCCAACTCCCTCTAGGTCCTTGGGTGCACCCTTTTGACTGAGTCCAAGTTTTACAGAACAAATCCCTTTTACTAAGGGGATTTGTTCTGCAAAGTTTGGATTCAGTTAAAGGGCCAAACCTGGAGGGCCACTTGTGGCCTTAAGGCCACAGGATCCCCACCTCTCTTCTGGATGCTTCCCATTACTTCTAGGATCACATATAAAATCTTCAGTTTGGATTTTAAAGCCTTTCATAAATTGACCCTTCCTACCCTTATGGTGTTCTTACACTTTATTCCCCTTCACATACTATAAAATCCAGTGACACTGGCTATCTTGTTTATAAGAATAGCATATTAAGATTTCATTAATGTTTTGCTAACATCTAAATAAATTATATCTATAGCAGATTTACTAGTCTAGGGACAAAATTTTAAAAAGCAAATGATGTTAGCCTGATATGGTGTGTTCTTGAAGCCACACACTGGCTCTTAGTGATCATTTATTTCTTTTGAAGATATTTGGAAACTATCCTTTTAAAAAAACATTTTAGAATTTTGCCAGGAATCAAAGTCAAGCTCATTGGCCTATAGTCTGCAGACTTTATTCTCTTTCTTTTTGGAATTAAAAGATTTCTAATTATCTTCCCTGTTTTAATTAATAGATCCCAACTACTTCAAATTATCCTTAATCTAGAAAAAAAATCTATTATTAAGAACTGCTAAAATTGTTTATAACTTGGATGAAAACTGCTTTTTTCTAGTTATTCCAACAATATTATAACTGAAAGGGAGCCTAGTTACTATCTAGAATCACCTTTTCAGTGAGCATTCAGTGTTACCCCCAATAGAACTCAAGCGACTTGTGGGCAAATATGGATTCATTTTTGCATTTGTATCTTCAGCATCAGCACAGGGCCTGGCACAGAGTAGATACTTAATAAATGCTTTTGATTAACTGATTCATCAAGTGGAAGCCCTACTCTAATTAGAAATCTCATCTCCATAACATCTGAAGTCCCTGCCTCAATTTCTTTATCTATAAAATTAAAAGTTTGGACCAGATAATCTCTTTAGTTCCTTTTAGCCCGAAATCTAATCATTCAGCTTCCACTTATAGATTTCCAGTAACTCACCCTCTCCTGAGGTAGCATATTATATACATTTTTGATAACTGTAATTATTAAAAAGTTCTTTATTTTGGGCCCAACTCTGTAAGTTCCATCCAGCAACTGTAGTTCTATCCATGGGGGCCCAGGAAAACTAATCTAATTTCACTTTTATAAAACAGTTAGTTCTTCAGCTACTTGTTTAAATCTTCTCTTCCCAGGATAAACACCTCCAGTTCCTTCAATTAATTCTCATATGTCCTGGTTTCTAGTCCCCTCATAAAGGTGGTCATGCCAATCTGAACTCATTCCAGTTTGTGAATGTACTCTATGTGGTATCAAGTATACAGTTATGCCATAAGCACTATACAATCACCATGAAAATAAAGCTAGAAATACATTAAGTTCTTGCTTATTTAGATATTTGTATTTTTGGACACATACTAGATTTATAGCTACTTAAGAGTCTTTCTTAATTCATTAAATGGATATAGAACAGATGAGTATTTTAACCTAGATTGTACTGTTTTCAATCATTCCATAAAGAGGCAGTGTAGAGTAGTGTGTAGCATAAAAAGCACTAGATCTGGAATTAGAAGACCTAGGTGGAATCCTGGCTGTTTTATTTATTAGCTGTGTTACCTTGAGTAAACTAACTTATTCCGTTTCTTCTTCTACAAAATAAAAGAGCTGGTTTCAATGATTTCTTCCTACATCCTACACACACTGAACTTTGAGAAGGGTAACCTAAGTGCTAATCCAAGCCCCATTAAAGTAACACAACCCTGGACAAGTCACCTAGCTTCCCAAGGTCTCAACACTGCAAATCTAATTGTTGACACCTTGCTCTGTGTGAAGAATACATCAGAAATACTATAATAACCTAGCACCAAATGTAGCCCCACAGAAGGTCAATAAGGGGCCAAGGCACACACAGTGAACTGAACTGTTATAGCACTCAAAATATACAAGGACAATTTATTGTGTTAATTAAAGCAGCAGCAGCAACAGCACAATGTAGTAGGAGAAACTCTGAGTCTTGTGGTCTTGTCATAAAGTTTCCTCCTCTCTAAAATGGGTATAATACTTGCACTACCTACCTCACAGGGTTATGAAGAAAGTGCTTTATAAACTTAATATTAGTTATTATTGTTAGAGTTTTTTTCAGATCACTCTGACTGGGAAGGTGATTCACCTACCTTCTTTGATCGGACTGTGAAAAGCAGATAAATCTTTCCTTCTTTAACCAACAAAGGTAGTAGGACAGAGTATTTAGTTGATAACCACTGGGAAAACTTGGTTCCAACATCATGCTTTCTTAATCGGACCTTAGCAGTATCCTTGGTCAAATTTTTGCTAAGATAAAAACAAATTCATGAATTTTAGCACAAGACTTCTCTTAAAAAGTTCTAGTTTGGGGGCAAATAACTTTCCCTCTTTGGGTCTTAGTTTCTTTATCTGTAAAATCTAAGGATGTAAAATATTTGATCTAGCTCTTTTCTAACTCTGACATGTTCGAAGTTTCCTTGAAACACAGAAATGAAAGCAGTGATCATTAAGTACTAGTATGGGTTCAAAAACAGGTCATACAAGACTAACCTCCATTTATTTGTTTGTTTGCTTATTTATTAACTTTGGGGCAGGGTTACTGGTCCCATTCAGAAGAATGCTAAAGATTTGGTATACGTGGATTAACAATACGGCATTGAACAGTCTCTCATAATATACTTGTGAATAAGATAAAATGTGATTGGATTAGATGCTCCACGTCTGAGGCTAATTTCTTTCAGCCAATATTCTAAATTAGAATTTAGGGGTTCCTTCCAACTCTACTCTTTTTATGTTCTAAAGTCCTTTCTAGGTTTCATATCCTATATTTTTAAGGTCCTTTCTAACTCAAAATTGAATGATCAGAGAAAACATTCAAGTGTGGCTTTTTTAATGTTCTAACGGCACTTTAGTGATAAGATTCTAATTCTTGGTGAGGCATGTTTTTTAGAAATTCAGTAGCTGAGAGGTGTTGAAATCCACCTTTACAAACAAAATTAGCTATAGGAGATACCCTGAGCAAAGGAGTTGAACACAGGGCCTTCAACAGTCCCTAGTGCATAGAATCAGATTAAAATGTAATTGGGACAAAAACAAAACAAAACAAACAAACAAAAAAAGGGGCAGCTAGATGGCTCAGCAGATAGAGCACCGACCTTAGATTCAGGAAGACCTGAGTCCAAATCTGGCCTCAGACACTTGACACTCACTAGCTGTATGACCCTGGGCAAGTAAAGTAATTGGGAAATATTTGACAAAATAAATAAAACACAATAGAACATAGATAATATTAATATGTGGTTTTCTAAGTCAACATGAGGCTCACAGGGATCCTTATCTACCTTTTTTTTTTTTTTTAAATTGAGTTACAGATATAGAGGAGCCTAGACAAATACTAGGAACATTCTCCCTGGATAACCACACTTACTTTCAGTCGTTCCCCCTCAGACATAGTTTCAATTTGCATCTGCATGTGTTGTCTTGGTAGTCGTCCTCACCTCTGATATGTGTCTTTCATATTCTTTTTTTGACCATAAATTCTTTTAGCTAAGGTTTTTTTTTTTTTAAGTGTCTCCCCATAGTGTCTGATCTGCCACTGAGAAAATGACATTCAAGAAAATGACAAGCCTGGAAATGATCTTATAAGAGCTGAGGAGGACTTTAGAACCTAAGAGCGGCAGAGCTGGAAGGGACCTTTGTACTCTCTCTAAAGGGTATACGAAGCAGCATACCTCCAATAGCAGAGGATTTTAACCTTTTTTGTGTGTGTCATGGATCCCTTTTCTAATGGGGTCCGGTGAAGCTTGTGAATCCCTTCTCGGAACAGTTTGGAATCACGAAGACCTGTGTTTAAATCCAGGCTCTGACACAACTCCTGTGACACTGCGCAAACCACGTTCTGCTTCCCTTTCCTCATCTGTGAAATGGGGTAGTCATAGTATCTCCTTCAGAGGGTTGTTATGAGGATCACATGAGATACTCCTAAAGTGCTGAGCGCTGTGCTAGACACGCAGTAGACACAACATGTTATTTGTATTATCGTTGTTACTCAGTCTGTTTCCTCATTTGTAAAATGAGCACCTACCTCCCGGAGTTGTGAGGATCAAATCATATAATAATTGCACAGCGTTTAGTACAGTGCCCAGCACAAAATAGGTGCAACATAAATGCCATTATCATTATTCAGTCTCAGTTCCCCATATTAAAAAACATAACAACAGCATCTATCTCTCAGGGTGGTTGTGAAGAATAAGTGAGATAACACATGTAAATCACTTTGTAAACCTTCAGGCGCCATATAAACGCTGGCTATTATTATAAAATACGTAGGGTTATAAAGGAAACCAACTGAACAGTTTTCATAATGTATTAAAAACCAGAAGCAACAAGTTCATGGCCCCGGGTTCTTAAGTGCGGCCCTACAGGGGCCTTTCAGGTGCCACAGCGCGAGTGCAGCCCCGCGGCACTACCCCGGCTGCAGGTCTGTCAGGCGCACTGCGTTGCAGGGGGCGGGGGGCGCGGGGCGCGGATCCGGGAGAGCTGGCTCGCGCCCCCGTCCTCCTCGGTACCCGTACCACGTCACGGCCCGCGGGCCTGCGGTCAGCCCTGCGCCGCCGCCCGGCTCCCACACGACCCTGGCCGGAACGGCGGGATCCCTGACCCAGCCTGAGGCTCTCCCTCCCAGCTCGGGTCTCACCATTGACGCTCCATGGGCTGCAGCCACCCGCCGCCTCCCTGAACACAGACAGACACACAAGCGCGGAAAGATTCCCTCCCCCAACCGCCCTCCCCGTCAGGCTGTCTCCTCCCCCAGGGCCCAACAGGCTGGAGAGCATGCGCACAGGGCAGACTGGAGGCCGAGCATGCGCAGAGGGCCCCAGCACTTGTACAGGAATTTTAGATTGTCGGAGTCTGGATGACTCATTCTACCCACAGGCCCTTCTGCTCCCAACTATTCCCATCCCCCACCTTCCCAGAAAAGATGCCGTATCTCTAAGAACTTGTGGGACCAGGTCTCAGTACAGAGTTGGGAGAGTGGGAGGAGCTAACTGGAATATCCCACCCCACTGACCCTTCTCGGTCTCTCATTGGCCCTGCCCCGTTTCGCTCTCGCTATTGGTCCTCACTCTCTCGTGCAACCCGCACTTTGTCCTCGCTTTCTCACCTCTTTTGAGATCTTGGGATGATTGAGTAAACTCTGCATGACTAATCTGGGGGATCAGAAGGCATGTAGCTAGGCTGGTGGAAGTTGCTTATAAACCCCTTTCTCCACACTTTTGGTTAAAGTCAAACTGGCCTGTTCTCTGCTAGTTTACATATTCCCAACTTCTGCCTGTGCCTTGACTGTGTGCCGTGCCTGGAATCACCCCCGTTACACTTTGGCCTCATCGAATCCCTCACTTTTTTTCAAGACTCAGGTCAAGCATCACCTGACATGAATCCTTTCCTGATCTCCCCCAAAGGCTAGGGCTCTCAATCAATCAACAAGTATTTTTCAAGCACCTACCACATGCCAGGCAATGTGCTAGAAGCTGAGGATGTAAATGCAAAGAATGAAACAATCCTTATTCTCAACGAACTTTCCCTCACCACTTTGTATTTGTTTTGTGTGTTTGAGTGTGTGTGTGTATAGACAGATAGATGGACAGATAGATATAGATATACACGTGTCTATCTATCCCTCCATATGAGGGGACTTCAACATACATGGTGACTGTCCTTCAAATACCCTATTTTTAGTTCCTCAACCTACTTTCCTCCAATGAGCTACTCCTCCAGCCCACCTCAGCCACGCCACCAAGATGTTCATACCCTCTTTCTTGCTATCACCCACAAATATACCACCTCCACTTTCAAGAATTCTCAAATCCCCTTATCCAATCATCTTTTGGCTTTTCAAATCTCCATCTGCCTTTCCTTACAAAACCTGAGTCTTCATCCTAATTGTGACCTCTAATCCCTTGATCCCTCAATTATCTCTCCTGCACTAACCACTCTCTCCTTCCCATCATGACTCATTGATGAACCAATTCAACTCTATTACTGTCCTCCTCTCTTAAATCCCTAGCCCCCTTATCATATCACTGATTATGCCTAGCCAAGCCTCAGCCTTGGATCACTCCCACCATGCATCACCTTCGTACCTACACAACTGCTGAATGAAGATGGAGAAAATCATGCTGACTGGGTCCAAATTTGCATTGCACAACTTTAACTGGGCCTTCACTTCTGCTAGGCAATCCTACTATACCTCCTTTATCAATTCACTATCCTACTCCCCACAGCAGCTCTTCCAAACCTTTTCATCATTCTTCAAACCTCCTGTGACTCCCCTTCCTCTCACTCTCTCAGCTGAGACCCTTGCCTCATATTTTACAGAAAAAAAACAGGCCTGTTTGTTGTGAACTCCCTCTTCTCCCCTTTTTCATCTCCCTTCACTCAGATGTCTTTTTCCACTTTCTCCTCCTTTGCATGATGAAGTGGCCTTATTCCTTACTAAGGCTAACCCTATATCTGTTCAAATCCCATTCCATCCCATCTCTTCCAATAGATTGCTCCCTGTCATTCCCATTCTTTCACTTATTTTCTAATTCCCCTTCTCTACTGGCTCCTTTCCTATTCCCTACAAACATGCCCATATATCCCTGTCCTAAAACAACAAAAACAACAACAACAACAACAAACTCTCACTTGTTCCTTCTATCCCTGCTATCACCCTATTTTTCTTCTGCCTTTTGTAGATAAACTCTTTGAAAAGGCCATCTACAATAGGTGCCTCCACTTTCTTTCCTCTCACTCTCTTCAGAACTCCTTATAATCTGACTTCTGACCTTATCATTCCACCAAAACTATGGTCTTTGAAGTTACTAATGGTCTCCTAGTTGCCAAATCCAATGGCCTTTTCTCAATCCTCATTCTCCTCGACCTCCCTTCTGCCTTTGACACTGTTGATCACTTTCTCCTTCTTGATACTCTCTTTTCTCTAGGTTTTCAGGATATCACTCTCTCCTGGTTTTCTTCCTACCTGTATGAGTATGCTTTCTCTGTCTCCTTTGCTGGATCCTCCTCCAGATCACACCTTCTCCCTATAGGTTCTCCCTCAGGGTTGTCTCCTGGGTCTTCTTTTCTTCTCCCTCTATACTACTTCACTTGGCAAACTCATTAGCTCTCATAGATTTAGTTACCATATTTATGCTGATGATTCTCAAATCTACCTTTCCTGCCCCAATTTGTCTCCTGATCTCCAATCTCACATCTCTAACTTCCTTTCAGACATCTCTAATTGAGTGTCCAGTAGATACCTTAAACTCAGTATGTCCAAAAAAGAACTCATCATTCCCCCTAAACCTTCCCTGTTACTGTAGAGGGCAACACTATCTTCCCAGTCCTTCAAGATTGCAGTCTAGGAGTCATCCTGTATTCCTCACTATCTTTCACTCTCATATCTAAGCTGTTGCCAAAGTCTGTCAATTTTGCCTTTGACATCTCTCAAATTTGCCCCCTTCTCTCTTCAGACATTGCTGTCACTGTAGTGCAGGCCCTCATCACCTCGTGTTTTGATTATGTCAATAGCCTGCTGGTGAGGCTGCCTGCTTCAAGTCTCTCCCCACTCCGATCTATTCTCCATTCAGCCACTAAAGTGATTTTCCTAAAATGCAGGTCTGATTGTGTGAGCCCCCTACTCAATAAACTCAAGTGGTTTCCTATTACCTCCAGAAGCAAATACAAAATGCTCTGTTTGTCATTGAAAGCCCTTTGTAACCTAGCCCCCTCCTACCTTTTCAGTCTTCTTACATCTTACTCCATCCCTCAGCATGTACTCTTTGATCCAGGGACATTGGCATTTTCTGTGGTTTCCAAACCTGGAAACTACTGACGTCCCTCACTTCCTTTAAGTCACAATTAAAATCCCACCTTCTACAGAAAGTCTTCCACTTAATTCCAGTGCTTTACCTCTTTTAATTACAGTTGTCCCTCAACATTCATGGGTTTTGGGGCACAGGACCGCTACAAATGTGAAAAACCAAGAATAACTCTAGGTTCCACCTCAATCCTTTATTTTTATTAATTCTGATCCTATTTTTTAAACACAAAAAACAAATAAAACAACACATTGTACCCATAAAAAAAGCTGTGGTTTCAATGGAGAGAAAATAATATCTTGTACACTATGTAGTCTTTGCGGCCACCAGTGTAGCTGCAGCAACTGTTTCTCCTTCTCCTACAAAAAGCACAAGATATAGTGATCACCTAGGAGGTGCAGTGGATAGAGTACTGGGCCTGGAGTTCAAAATGACCTCAGACACCTAATAGTTTTGTGACCCTGGTCGAGTCACTTCACTCTGTCTCAGTTTTCTCATCTGTAAAATGAACTGGAGAAGGAAATGGCAAACCACTTCAGTATCTTTGCCAAGAAAACTCCAAATGGGGTCATAGAGAGTCAGATAATATCTGGAAATGACTGAACAGCAACCATAAAAATAAGGTTAGAAGTGAGGAGTTTATCCTGGGAGGGGGCATCTTTTATGGAATTGAAACCAGGCAAATCACCTCTTATAGAATGTAAACTCCCTGGAGTGATAGGTGTTTGAGTTTCTTTTTTCTTTTTTTTTTTTTTTTTACTCATGGATAGATTGGCTGATTGCCTAAAGATCGACTTAGGAAATTTTAGGAAGATTTAGGAAAAACCTTCCAAACAATTAAAGCTATTCAAAAGTGGAATGGGCTGCCTCAGAAGGAAGTGAGTTTCCCCTCAATGGGGATTTTTCAGCCAAGGCTGGGAGACCAGTGTGCTCTCCAGTGTGTTACAGAAGGGCTTCCTGCTGAGATAGTTTGGACTGGATGTCTCTGAGCCTCTTCTAACTCTGAGATTCTGAGAACCAGTCTAACCTGCTTCTCCACCATACCTCAGTTTTACAAATAAAGAAACATGAGTGTAGAGAGAAGAAACTTTCCCAAGGTTGCTCAGGGCAGCAGTGGCAGAGCTGGACCTGTCAATCAACAAGAATGTATTAAGCGCCTCTTACATGCCTGGCATTGTTCTAGGATAGTCTGTGCTCCCAAAGTACTTAGAGTATAACTGGGACATTACATGCCTCTCTGGCCAAAACAGAAACAATTGCTATTTACACTCATTCTGAGCCATCAAAACCCAAACAACGACCAAGTGAGGTTTGGGCTGAAACCTATTCTTGGCCGGTCAGTGAGAGCCAGAGTGATTTGGGTTTAAGGCATGGTCAAGTAGCTCCATTTGAATCCCAATGGGCTTTATCAAAGCCTGGTTTTCCAATTCTGTATTTCAAGAAATCATAAATGAAACTACATGGGGCAAAAATGCTAATTGAGAATTTATTCTATCATTTTAATTCTCAACTAGAAAAAGAAGAAGAGGGCAGAAATGAGGAAATTTAAGCTTTAAGAGCAAAGAGGGAAATTTAGGCTTTTGGAAAAATGTTAGCAATTGGGAGCTATCCAAATGTGGACAGATAGTGAGTTCCCCATTACTGGATATCTTCAAGCAGAGGCTGGAATGCTACTTGTTGGGTAGATAATAGGATTCCTTGCCGGACAGGGTTAAATTAAATGGCTGCTAAGGTCAGTTCCAACTCTCAAATTCTATGATAGTCTCTGAGGCCCCTGTTAGCTCTGCTTCTTATGTTGTCACTAATGGGGCCAGGAACCCAGAATATTGGCCATCAGGATTCTGGAATGTCTATGGATGAGGCCATAGCAAGTCTGTGAAGCAGCTCAAAATTAAAATCATTATT